GTCGAGTAAGTAATGAGTTACTTGGCTCGTCGTTTCCCTGACGAAGGAACGCAACTCCATTCCAAGGTCGCAAAATTGACTCGGGCGATTCCATTTTTTATTGGAGTATACATGTGCAATTTCGTGATTTTTCTGATTTTTCCATGAGATCAGAGGAAAAATTAGTGANCTCCCCCGCCCAAAAAAAAGGAACCCACAGTAGCTATAAACACGGAAATTTTTAACTGTGTGGACCCGGAGGATGTGCTAGTCATAAAGTCACCGTTCACTGCAGAGCGGAGTCAGAATGTAAGAATGCCATTACGGACAGACGGAGAGGCAATAAAAGTAGTCGCCGACCGCGGATGGAGACTGAATGGAACGACATGAGGGATTGCAATCGCTACCTCTGCGAACACCAGTTTTACTTAAATAGCGGATTATATCGCTCCGCACACCGCCGTGACATTGTGACAAACTAACAACTTGCTCATGGCAAAAACTGCACGGAGAGGAAGGCTTTTCAGTGAAAATAGTAAGTTAGTTAGTTAATATATTTTAAGACATTCAGCGTCACAGGCTATTAATCAGTGAAAATAGAGAGTGATCCAAGTCATAGGTGATGAAAATTTGCTCTGAGTAGCCTGAGGGGTCGTTTACATATTATGTGAGCCGAAGGGGGGGGGGGTCGAACCTCGTCTTCCGTGCTCCTCCCTGTTTTAAAAAAAATGATATGTTCCAATTGAAATAGTTTTTTAAACTATTACACAGAAATCGATAACTGTATCGAATCCGAGTTTTTTTCCGAACAGAGGTTTGCTTTAATTTCTCTAGATTTCGCCAATTTTTTGGTTTAGAATGAATCTTTAGGCTCATGTGCGGAGGCTATCGTGCTTTTTTTTCGGCCAAAAATAAAAAATCCGCCGAGATTTTTGACAAAGGTAAAGAATGCACGCCAGTTCGATCACGCCAGAAACAGTGAGAATTCAACTTAATGGCTCTTTGATACATTTTTTGCAAAATCCAAGATACTGCTTTACAGTATCACCAAATAAGTAAAAGTCGCTCACGAAGAAAAGGGGGAGGGGGCGCACAGTACGGATCCCGCAAGACATCTTAATTTATGACCATTCTAAAAATCGATCTGTTGCCGTCCTTCCATATTCGCTAAGCAAGTACCGTCCAGTTGTGCCTGGATTTGATCATAATAACCTTGGTTAATGAAGAGCACGAGAGAGAGGGAGCGATAGGGGGGATAGGCTACTAAGATACTTCGATACTTTGGAATAGAGGGGGGGGGGGACACAGAGGNAGAGAGAGGGAGAGAGAGAGGGAGCAAAAAATCAATTAAAACCAGGTCGAAAGAGGATTAGCGCATTCTTTATCTGCGCGCATTTCCCTAGTCGTCAGGAACAAATATGTAAATTCTCCAAGTCCAACTCGGCGTATTAGGATACTTCGAATGATTTCATTGACGCGTACTTTCCGAGAAATTACACTGGGGCTCGAAAAAAAGGGCGTTACTCACTCAATGAAAATCTCGATGGTCTGTCATCACGTTTAAGGTAAATACTTACTTCGTCAGTGGTACACGTTTTGAACTTGAGATAATGAGTGGATTGCCATCGATGGTAGCAGAAGAGGATGTGCCTACTTATAAAGCGGTAGCTTATCAAAGCGAATTGTTAAAAATATTTGATGTTAGTTAAAGAATTTCTTATTCGAGTGCTGCCCCGGTGCCGATGAGAATAGGTACGATTGAACGAATTTGTTCCATTGATGTTAAAAGCACAGTAATCGACCCGCTGCATACTAAAAAGACGCTGGTATTCGCTGCACACTGAAAGATGCAGCCGACTAGAAAGACTTAACTTTTGAGTGGTAAAATTAAACAAATGCATGCTCAGCATAAAAAAATGTCTATGGGTGATTTGTCGTTGAGCTGACTAATCTGACCCTACTTTTACTAATAAGTCGCTCGTGTAGCGCTTCTGTGCGCTCTGCGACACCCAACCGCCACTGACAGCGATCTTGCCAGAGCTCCTTTGGATCGCATCTCTTCAATTCCTGCCTTCTTCCCTCAATCCACGATTAGGCTAAGCTGACCTGCAAGGCTTTAATTGATTGATTCGAATATAAACTACAAACGTTACTTCTTTTCACCAAGCGTTGTAGTTTTGGGAGTTTTCGATACGTTCAAATCGTTCTGAGTGATCTCTTAATGAAGACTTATACATACGCTTGGGGGAAGTTACATTCTGCACCTGTCTCGTGGTCAAATTACATTATCTTTGAACCGCATCGAGATCCGTTTTTTTTTTATTTTTTTTTTATTTTTTTTTATTTTATGTTTTAAATAATTTCTATGACATATTTAACATCATCCAAACGTCTAAGGCCATCATGCGCCAGATATCTCCTTACAAAAAATCGTACATTCAGAGATAATCATTACGTGTCAATACAACGCGTTGACAACTTTCTACAGGGATGCTAATAAATTGTGTTTGCGACGGTCGCCAACAAACAATAGCGCATCAGCGCCCTCTGCCGGAGTCCGTTCGCTGAACAATGCGCCCCATTAGAAAAATGCACTGCTGCAATCATGCGTGGCGTGGTTCCCTCGCGGCCGGCGTCCTAGTCCGAGTGCTCTGTGCTCAGCCTTCCCCGAATGATTTCATTAACATAGAGCAGCTAATTACCTTGCTTACACGCACATTCGGAGTTGCCCAACTTGTCCGGCAGTATCGAATTTACGACAAGGTCAAGTCAATGACCTACCTAGCAAGTTGAGCTTCCCAGATTTTTTTGACTGGGACGCGATGATAAGGAAGGTTCCTAGATTTTATTCCCTCCAGTGCTGCCATTTCCCGGAATTGATTCTGAAATTCGAAACTTTTCCCAGAATCTAGCTAATCTCCGAATTTTCTCGAAAGACGCTGTCCCATTATCCATAGGAAATGGCCGCAAGAGCTTTTACACCCATACTTTCAGGAATCATGACGGATCATCGGAAAGGCCTAAATCCGGTGACATTTCTCGTCTAGCCCTGCGATAAGTCTCGAGTTTCCCTGGTAAAAATTGGCAGTAGAATCTGTGTTCCAAAATACCATAGACCTACAGCTGGCTGTAAGATTTCCAATAGCTTCTATAGTCGGCTACACAATTTCTTATAGCCTTTTATAGCCGGCTACACAATTGCTTATAGCCTTTTATAGCCGATGGCAACTAAGCAACAGCCATGCGATAAAGTGTATGCTAAACGTTACTGATTACGGATGCTAGGACTTAGTGAAATTTTGGAATACTGCTCTCTTTTTGGGCCGTAGCATCTTGATTCATTTTGCGAGGAAAGCTCCGTACTTTTGATGGATGCCTGCCAGTACTAATATATTAGAGCGCCTTCAGTTTCGTATGATTCTGTGCAATACGTGTGGTGTGAAATAGTTGCTTCAGGCGCCGTGGCACGCTGTGGCGCGGCGGGCGGGCAGCCAGCGCGAAACGCGCATTGGCGCCTACAAACCTAACAGGGATACTTCACGCGTTGCGCAATGCGTGAGGTATCCCTGTTAGGTTTGTAGGCGCCAGTGCGTCGCCGCTCCGCTTCGTGTTAGGCTCTAATATTTAATCTGGCGGAGTCAGCGTTATTCAACTCATGATTTCGAACTTTTTGCACATCCTGAATGGATTATTCTCATTTTAATTGATGAAAAAAAATATGTATTAAAGGAAAATATAATGTGTGTTTTGTAAATATTGAGGTGGTTCCGTATCACACTTAATGATTTCCAAAGCACACGAATTTCTACACAATTTTTTATAGCCTTTTATAATCGATGGCGAACAAGCAACAGCCAGGCGGTAAAAAGTAAATAAGCCCGGCAATAGGAACTATATAGCTCGGCAGCATAATTTGTAATCGCTTCGTATAGCCCGGCCGTATGATTTTCTCCGCATTCTACAGCCAGCTATATGATTTTCTGTAGCATTCTTTAGCCGGCTATAAGAATTACTATGATATTTTGAAACGCAACTATTATCGCCAATTTTTACCAGGGTTACCGGGGAGCCCCGGTAGCCGGTACATAGACTCATCGTTCAATTTTCAACTTTTTTTCTCCTTTTTTCTCCTCCCTCATTTCAGCGCCATTGTTATGAAGACGCCTAGCGCAGCTGCTCTTCATGTGCCATCATTGTCCGGCCTTTTACACAGAGCTCGTAAACTTGTCGAAAACAAATTGGCACCCACGGAAAATTATTAAGTCCTACTTCTATATCCTGCCAAAATTGGTTTGATACCTGATTTGACTTGCGTGGACATGATGATTTATTCGAGAACGGAAATATCGAATTGACTAAGACAAAAACGATCTTATTTCCTCAATCTTGAGTTGAATTTGGAAGTATTCGGCTTATCCACGTCTTCCTACATTTAAATCTAATGAGGGCACATGTATTGGGAATCAGTAGCGTGGCGTGCTTTGCGATTTATCGATCGATCTGCCATTTAAACCTATGAAAAAGGATCGAAATACAGAGTGTTTGCAACGTACATCATACACGGAGAAAAAAACTTCGTGCGTGGGACCCGAAGTTTAGGTCATATGGATCTCTGAAGTTTTCGGATTGAGCATCTGAACACTTTAGGTCCAGCTGCTGAGGTTTGGATCACACATCTGAAATTTCAGTTCTCACATCTGAATTACTTCGGTTTTCACATCTGAATTACTTCGGTTTTCACATCCGAAAAACTTCGGTTCTCATATCCGAAAAACTTATTCGGTTCTCACACCTGAAGTACTTCAGAAGTAGGAACTGAAGTTTCAGATGTGTGATCTGAACCTCGACAGCTAGACCTGAAGTGTTCAGATGCTCAATCCGAAAACTTCAGAGATTCATATGACCTAAACTTCGGGTCCCACGCACGAGGTTTTTTTTCTCCGTGTAATGATCGATTCTTTACCATAGCTTTAAATGGAGAAATATCGATAATCCGTTGGGAATATGAATTTAGGCAGAAGCTAGCTTACCTTTTTCAGATGTTTGTTCACCCATTTGGTGAATGTCTTCTTTTGGATGGCGTCGCGCTCATCTGCAACAAAGGGAAACAAAGGCAAAGATTAATGACCAGGTTACGGACAAATCGTGATTAGATAAATTTATAACCGCTCATATGACCACACAGATTATAATCAAAAATTGCCTTGGTTTATTGTCTGCTGCCTGACAGAAGCCCATGATTTGCAAAAGTTTTCAGCCTTCAGCGCTGTATCACTGTTAAGCACGATAAAATGCATCATTTTAGATTTGCAACAATTAGGATTGCTACCATTATCTAAAGATGCAAACGACGAATGTTACAGAGACAGTGATGGGCCCTACATTGAAAAAAAAGTTACGGGGTATACAGACATACCGTCCATTCCGGGCTCAGAGGCCGAAAGTTCTGGGTGCTGGAGCCGTAGCTTTAATTGCTCCGGGTCTTCCACCCGGAACTTTTGGCCTCTGAGCCCGGAGATTGGACTGCCGTCCGATCTCCGGGTTCAGAGAGGGTCTCCGGGGTCTGTATAGCCCGTAAGCACGGCTTCCACGGCCGGAGTTTTTTTTTCAGTGTACGTGCTCTTCATACACTGGAAAAAAACACATTGGATCTAGAGTCCAGACTCTTGAAAACATTGACAAGAAAAAATACTCTTGATTCAATCGGATTTTTGCTTGAATCAAAACGGAATCCGCTTAAATTAAGAGGCTTGGTTCTTGATTTAAGCTAGATTCTGATTGAATCAGGAGTACTTTTTCTTGTCGATATTTTTAAGAGTCTGGACTCTAGATCCGATGTGTTTTTTTTTCCAGTGTGGGGCTGATACACATTCTAGAAACTGCCTGGAAAAATAAGTATTCAGCGTAAATTGTAGCGAGAAACGCGTTTTCGGGTTCAAAATAGCTTAAATCAGCATGTTGGGCTGAGAAAAAAAGAGGTTTCAAGTGGCAATAACAGAAAGGACGTTACTCATAAACCTGAAGCTTAAGACGTTATCACGAAGTCAACACTCGTGGTTTCTAACACCGTGAATCCAATGTAACATGACCGCTGCGCGATTCAAATTACAAAAAAATTATTTCATTTTTAAAAAAAGAGAAAAAAAGGTAAAATATTTGTAAAAAACCGAAGCTAATAGTTACGGTAACACAACGCACGTTTCTCATTGGCTTGAAGCTTGTAACACCATAGGGTTTTAACCACAATGGATCCAGCGCCTGCCGTGCGATTTACGTCACTCGCAATGGCGAGGCATGTATGATCGATAATCGATAACTCCCTATTTGAAGCCATGGTAAAAGATCGATTATTAAGGTATTCGTTTCGAACACCCTGTTTATCGATCATTTTTAATAGGTTTAAACGGAAGATCAATCGATATATCGTAAAACACGCCACGCCACTGGTCACGCGCAGAGGGTTTCATGTGGGGAAAAAAGCCCGCAAAAATTCTCAACTTTAAACTTCAAACCTTCAATCAATCATGCTATCACGAGCACAGCCCGTGTACATTACGTCTCGTTACATTTGCGACCGGAAAGTAAGTAAATAAACAAACCCAGGTGAAAGGGGATACGCAGCGCAGTCGATTCTTTATGTGACAACGCGAAGTCTGTTGCACGATCATTTTTCCGTAGACCGCATTCGATAATGGTTCGATGTATCGTTTGGTTCAAAACGATAGAACATAACCTTAAACTAATATTTTAGGATTTAGGTTATGGAAAAGCTGAAAATGCGAATATTTCTAACAATTTCACTTTGCATTGGCATTTGGTACTCAAAAGAATAAAACATCTGTTACAAAAGACCCGTTCCCTCCGATTTCTAAATTGACTTTTGAGGCTATGTTTATGTTTTGAACCAATCGATATCGATACAATCTTACCTGTTTGATGTATCGAATACAATCTTTTGGAAATGCGGCTAGATTTTTGGTGGCTTTGAAAGTCGTTTTCTCAGCTATTTGATTAAAGAAAAAACAGGAAAATGCAAATGTTCTGATTTTTTAGGTACTTTCCGAAGAAGTATTTTTCCTTTTAAAAAAAAATGGGAAAAAAATGAATAAAAAAAGGAAAAACCACGCAACTGGTCCGTTGCTAAGTTATAGCAGGAGTAAGTGAGTCTGGAAAAACGTTTCAGTCTCTGATATGGTAAAAATTTCGGCTCCGCGGTGAAGGTAGGACCAACAGTTTCCCGGGAAAGTCAAGGGCCGGGAGCGGTAAATTTCCCGGGGACGTTCCCAGTGGCTCTTCAAAGTGTAGATAAAAACCATGTGAGTGTGTACGTGTGTATTTAAGTTCCCCGAGAAACTGACTTTGACCAAGGGATTGCCGGGAACTTTTCCGAGAGTGTTCTCGTTCCCAGAACGAGAAATTTCCGATTTCGACCCCTAAACGTTGAGCAAGTCGTACGAAAAGGTAGAGGGATCGAACCAAAGGGATCGAAAGGTAGAGGGATCAACCAGATCTAGTTTAAATGGTAGATTGTCAGATTTGGTGAAAAAAAAAGAAAACATAAGAGCGATAGCTACTCACATCCTAGGTGCGATTTCGGCCCTCGCGACTGAAAAAGTTTATAGCCCGAATGAAATTCCATCTGGAGATCACAAAACCAAACCACTGTCACTGCCACCGCGAATGCAACTTCGGACGAGACGGAATCATCGCGGGCTACCGACGACGCAAAACCGAAAATAAGATTCCCGTTTTGGTATAGTTAAGCTTTTGTGGCCGTGATGACGTGAGACTTGTCGACGACCAGATCAACGCGTGACTTGGGACAGGATTCCTGCGATCCTCTTCAATGTTATCTAATCTCAGTAAGGCATCCTAATCCCCGAATGCAAATAATAACACCTCTTACCCACCCGTTGTCCAGCGTCACCTCCTACCGTAAAAAAAAATATGCAAAATTCTTGACACTGTCTGGATGATAATCACACGGTGGCTACTGATAGTGACGGTAGGGTATTTTAAATGAAAACTTGGCAACAGAGGAACTGAGTAGCCTTACTACACTGGACATTGCCTTAATTTCCTCCCGAGATTTATTTCTTGACTAAAGAATATCAGCCAAAATCAGAGAGGCATTCCACTCGGTTCTCTTGTATGAGAAATAATAAACCTTGGAGGAAATGGACCACTAGACAAGGTGCGAATTCGAAATTCTGATGCACGTCCCCCAACCAAAATTTTAGTAATAGCGGCCTTTGATTTCTGCTTTACAAAAATCGCTTTTTATTCTGTTTCCAATGCAGTAATACGCAATGACGGTCGTCGAAAAAATCTACTTAGGACTAGCCTTCCTAAATGTTACTTTAGTCAAGGATATGTCATTGCAAACAGTAAAAAAAAAACTTTTTCCAGCGAAAACCCAGAGGTCGTTAACAACAGTCAATGATCCACGATGGTGGCTCCATAAAGTTGCATTTTGAGAAACTTTATTAAGTCGTCATTTTGAAATAATGATAGATGGAGACATTCAATATGAACGGAATTCCGCATTGTTCTACAATCTTATTGATGATGCGTCACAAAGGGGATGTTGTCATTAAAAAAAGAAAAAAAAGAAAAAAAGAAAAAAAAGAAAAAAAGAAAAAAAAAGTTAGGGCTCGTGCCGCCGTTGTCTCCCTCGGGTTGGCCCCTCCAAATTTTTGAGAGGTCCCAAAAACAGTTTCCTGTAGCTCATGGGCACAGTCAACATTTCAAAAGTCTATTTCCATTCGTCCAAAAGTTGCATGAGTGCTGCGGGACGGCTCGTTGACCCTGTGTGAGGCTATTGCCGTTTTCAGATCTCCACATTTTGGGCAAAATTATTTTTTCAGGTCCCTGACAACGTTTTCCGCACAGCCATAGCACATTGCGAGTAGGCGCTGAAAGTGATAGGATAATCCTCGATCGAGATAAGAGGCGAACGAACTTGTGTCGTCGGCGCCGCGACGCCGACGTGAGCTGACACTACAACAGAACCGATGCTCTGGTGGTCCAACAACTGCCAACAAGTTATTTATATTCTGTTCACTTTCGGAAGATATCGGGCTCGTACGTATTTTTTGCCGTAGGCGGCAACACCGCGGTGCAGTGCTAAGGAAGAACGCTACAACAGCATTCGAACGTTGCCAGATTTTCCCCAGTAAAATATTTATTTCTGCGGTAATAAGTAACTAGATACTTACTTTGCAATACTTGCAGACGTACAATTCTCTTTCTAGTGAAATTAAAACTCTACTTTGTGGAAAGAAACTTAGTAGCATTTGTCTATCAATTAAAAAACACTGGAAAAAAACACATTGGATCTACAGTCTAGACTCTTAAAAACATCGACAAGAAAAAGTATTCTTGATTCAATCAGAATCTAGCTTAAATCAAGAACCCTGCCTCTTAATTTAAGCGGATTTCGTTTTGATTCAAGCAAAAATCCGATTGAATCAAGAGTATTTTTTCTTGTCAATGTTTTCAAGAGTCTGGACTCTAGATCCAATGTGTTTTTTTCCAGTGTGAAGCAGCCGATTGTGAGCCATTATTTATAGAAACTATATGTAAGCTTTGCCCGATGGACAACAGACTGATTTAGTGATTATGTCATTCGATGTGATACCTATCGAACCCTAAATGTAAACAAACGCACAGAACCTTGTTTCTGATTCTCGCTCATTCGCGCCCTTTGCACATGGTGGTGAATGCGTCCAAGTGTTTTTTACAATCGAAAGTTCTCATATTTAAAGAGTTTTAATTGATTTATGACCGGTCAATAACGAAATTTTGATAAATTAACTTAATTAACTGAGGAGGAATTCGCAAGTGAGGTTTCGTTAGTTTGTTTTGGTTTGAACCAAGAGCTCAATATTAATGGAAGAAGACGGCACACGGCCGGCCGTTGATTAGAGGCGGATCCAGCAATTTGGCAACACCGGATTGCCTCAATTTAAACCTATGTTAAATAATCGATTCTTGTCGGAGCACCTGGCCCCTCCAAGAATCGATACATTTCCATAGGTTTAAATGGAGAAAAAACAATGTTGCCAATTTGCTGGATCCGCCCATGCCGTT